CCATAATTTTCGATATAAATATGTATATATATGTAGAAAAGATATAAAGATTTTAAACAAATCTAACTGAATGATGAATTAATATTTTATATTTTTATTATCCTTTAGTTCTCACGTACAGACGTATTGACAGACGCGTTAACATCAGATGAATCAGAGTATACAAAGGCAATAATAATTAGTATATTCTCTTCTATAAAAGAACAATCCGGAAATAAAATAAACAAAATAAATCCTCAAAACCAATATAGAGATTAATTCTTTAACTTTCAAATATGTTAATTTTAAATGTATTGTGTTTTATTTTATTATATATAAAATACATAAACATCCTTTAATATATATAAATTAAATTAAACAAAAATATGTATATTTTTACAATGTTAACAGTTGTTTATATTATTATTTCCTTCGTCTCTTTTCAATTCGAGAATTGGAAAGAAATGAGGATCGAATAAATTAATTATTATATCTTGGACGTCAATAATTACATGTAAGTGTGAGAACCTTATGTAATAATCGTTTTTAATTTGATTGACATTAATAATAATTGATATATCAATAAAAAAATATGGAAAAAATAATACATTTTACAATCTTATTTAGTCCCATATTATTTGATTTTTTGTGTATAAATTCGCAAATATGATTTGCAAAAATGATTGTTAAATTTTTTGTTTGTAAATCTCAAACATAACTTCATATATAAACTATCAAATTTTATTGATTCAGATTGTATATTTAAGTTTGTTCTTTTTTCAAGAATTCTTCCAAAAGAACAGACTTTATGTTCTTAAGCCAGCGAGAGGGCGCCTCAAACTTACATTCGGTGACGCCGTCTCGGCAAGCTTGAATTTGCGGGAATACGCGGGAAATTGAGTCAATTGAGTGGCTTATGGAGGTTATTCGCACCTGCCTGAACGTGATTTCTGGCCGAGTGAAGAACGCCTAAGAAGCAGATATAAAATTATCTTAATCTCTGTCAATAATGTCGAGTCCTATTAGACCGCCGAGGACTCCTGTCCCTCAGGATGACAATCGTTCGCCGAATGGCACGCCAAATCGTACACCGAACCGCACACCGAGTCATACTCCTAGACGGCATCCTCGAACTCCAACCTCCAGGACTCCCTCAGCCGTCGGAACACCCAGAGTTGCCGGCTCCGCTAGAGGTTGAAAAATATCCATTAATTATCTTTATTTTTTTAAATGATACATTATATTTAAACTGTTACATTTGTCACATGTAGGTACACCTCAAAGAAGACCAGGTAATCAACCAGTAGATACTCCATTACGATGGGGCAACCGTCAAACGCAGGAGACCATTGCGCCGTCGTCGGAGGGCTTGTCGTCTATGCCATTGTCTTCTCCAAATCGACAACCAGAGACAAGTCCTCTCGCTGCTGGTATGAGTGAGATAGAATTGTCATCTCCACTAAATTATGGAACTCCTAGCTCTTTGGCATCGATTCGTACTCCTCGTAGTGGTGTCAGGGGTACGCCGATTCGACAGAGACCAGACGTTCAGTCTGACAGACGTATGCGGCAAGTTAACTTGAATGAAACTGTAAGTTAAAATGTATATGTCAGTATTAAGGTAGATGAAATTATTAAATTATTAATAGTTAAATTTTATTTGCAGATACCAGAGAATGATGAAGACAGAGAAAGAACGTCCGAGGGTGAGAACGGCCCACAATTGATAATCTGGGGTACAAGTGTTGTAGTGGATCGTATCAAGCAGCAATTCAGACGATTTGTTACATACTTTATTGATCCAGAAGCAGAGAATGATGAATTGCCTGAAAACATGAATCTAACAGAACCACTCTACTTACAGAAACTTGAGGAGATACATATATTAGAAGAACCTTATTTAAATGTAAACTGTGCTCATCTTGAGGCTTTTGATGCACAGCTTTATAATCAATTAGTATTGTATCCTCAGGAAGTTATACCAGCATTTGATTTAACTGCAAACGAAATATTTTTTGAGAAATTCCCTGGGGCAGCATTGGAACATTCAATTCAAGTACGTCCTTATAATGTTGCAAGGACTACAAGTATGCGCCTCCTGAATCCAGAGGACATAGATCGATTGATTACGATTACTGGAATGGTCATTAGAACATCAAATATTCTACCGGAAATGCGAGAGGCATTCTTTAAATGCATCGTATGTTCCTTCACAACGACTGTGATCATCGACAGAGGTCACATAGCCGAGCCCACAGTGTGCACTCATTGCAACAACAATTTCTGCTTCAGTCTGGTTCACAATCGTAGTCACTTCACCGACAAACAAATGATCAAGTTGCAAGAGTCACCGGACGATATGCCAGCTGGTCAAACTCCTCATACAGTAGTACTTTTTGCACATCATAATCTAGTTGATGCTGTCTCACCAGGTGATAGAGTTTCTGTCACTGGTATATATCGTGCGTTGCCTATACGCGTTAATCCTCGACAGACCAACGTTCGGGCCATCTACAGGACACATGTTGATGTAGTCCACTTTAGAAAACAAGATTCAAAGCGGTAAGCATTTCTAATTTTGATTTTATTTTACATTTTCGTGAATTTGTTTCATCGTGATTTAAGCACGTACGCGCTCACACACACACACACACACACACACACACACACAATTAAGTAATTACATTCTTATTAATCTTTGTTATGGTTTGCATATATAGATTGTACGAGCAAGAGGACGGCAAGCGCCATGCGTTTCCACCAGAAAGAGTGGAGTTGTTGAAATTATTGTCACAAAAGGAGGATATATATGAACGATTGGCACGACACATTGCTCCCAGCATCTATGAGAACGAAGATGTCAAGAAGGGTATATTGTTACAA